TGACACATTTACTTATGTGCAAGATGAACATAGTTCTGCTATATTTTTCCACTCACATTAATAGTTTTTTTATAGTATAGTTTGACATTTTGAAAAACGTGCTTATTATATTGGGGGGTTTTTGTTAAGTAAATAATATACGAGGTGCTGATGAGTGAATCGAGATGTACTCTTATATCATAAGATAGAGCCAAGCTATATGTGTCAGTGTATTTCCTGTGTTTATGCTAAGCCAGCTGTCTGCCTGTAGCTTCATTTTTTCCTCTCTTACTGTAAGTATTGAATATAAGCCACCTCCTTGCTTCCTCTACTTTTACGCAAGTAAAGTACCAGAACCTCTAGTGTCCTCTGGATGCATGCACATTACCAGAGGAAGCTTTTAGGTGTTTGAAGTGAGCAAATTCAGCAGCCATGAAGAAGTAAAGCTAGCTAGCTAGCTTGCTAGATGCAGCATCCATTTTCAAGCAGGCTGAGCTTTTATTCTAGCCGCATGCAGCATCATCACTGAGATGGAAAACATTGTGCGTGTGTGTCAGGGAGTGCCCCTCTTTGTGTGCATCTCACGCATACTTGAGGAAATTGTCAATAGTTGCTCATAAAGACCAGGACCAGCTGAGAGCACATGGTCCACATTAAAGCCGGTCAGATGCTGCAGACTCCCACAAGGGCGTGCTTGCCATCAGGCTCTCCAGTCCGATGTCTGGCTATTTCAGTGGTCTTCCACGGTCAGGAAATGACTCTGGGTTTGAAACGGAGCTTCTGAGTGGATAATCTCTCCCGGCAGTGCAGACACTTCCAAGTTCACTGGGTTTGTGTTCAGTCATGCAGAGTGTACCAGTGAACTGTGATACTGTAAGGCTGGGATCGATGCATTATTCACATATCTTGGTTTAGCTCCAGAGCTCCAAAAGCAAGGCTCAATCTCCTTTTAAAGATATGTTAGTTCAAACTAAAAATCAGTAGGAGTCAATCTACAGGTTGCACATTTCAAAACCTAATAGACTAGAGATTTCTCATTTGTAGCATTTGTCTGAATACAACAGGTTAAAGTTGTTGTTGTTTTTTAATAAAGAGGTTTACTTTCACCTGTTATTTGTCCATACAGTAAAATAATATTATACACATTTCAAGACCTTTTAATCAAATTTAGGTGTGTTACAAACACCCACTTATTGTCTGTTTTTTAATTTGTTTGGTTGATTTGTTTGTTTTTAACAACACACTTTTCTATTGGATAGTAAGACGGACTTTTTGTCGTACGGACTGGGCCAGGTTAAGTTTGTTGAGATCAGATAGGTTTGCCACCGGACAGCAACCATTTAATCCCTTGACCTGGTCTAACCAACAGATTAGACCAGCTTGTTGAGGGAAAATACTCAGGTCGATCCTGTCGCTCTCTGTTGGATTCACTTCAATCGCATTCAATATTCTGCTTTTCTCTCCCATGTTCTCACTGACCCAGAAGGAAAGGTCATGACGGCATAGCTTGATCACAGCACAGAACTCTCAGAACAGGCAGGGCTTGGTAACCGGATGACTTCATTGCATTAAGTAATTTAAACCAGAAAAGGGCGGACAATACCTTACACAGACAACACAAAGATATAATAAAACACAAGCCAGAACAAAACAATAATGCTACAGTAAGAGGCTGCATCACAAATATAAGCCATATATTTTTTTTTATTGATTTCAAATTTACTATAGTTTCTATTTGGATAGACTGCAGAAGGAGACTAACTGATGTTAGTCACAAGATTAAAAAAAAAAAAAAAAAAAAAAAAGCTCTAAAGTTAGCTTTGCCTTTTTTAAATAAAGATTGCTAATATTAGCAGTTCCAAACTTGATGTTATAGCAATTATAACAACTACAGTGCTTTGAAAAAGTATTTATCCCCCTTCTTAACTTTTGCATATTTTTCATGAGCAAATACAATATATAGTTTTTAAATCGTGATTTAATTAACTGAGGGGGAAACGTAATCCAAACCTACCTGGCCCAATGTGAAAAAAGTAATTACCTGCCCCAATTAATTAATTAAGTATTAACCACATTCTTTGGAGTTCTTCGAGTATGATTACTCCCAGACCTGTCGAAATTACTGAAGTAGAACCTGTCTGACAAAGTGAAGCAGGCTAAAAGATTGCAAAAAGCAACACATGATGCCACAATCTAAAGAAGAAGCTGAAAAACAAAGTCATTGACATCTATTAATCTGGAAAGGGTTACAAAGCCATTTCTGAGGCTCTGGGACTCCAGTGAACCACAGTAAGAGACATTCTCCACAAAGGGAAAAAACTTGGAACAGGCGTGAACCTTCCTACCAAAATGGATGACCTTCTGGATAAGCGCATCAATGAGTCATTCTAGAGGTCATAAAAGATCGCAGAGCGACATCTAAAGAACTACAGGCCTCACTTGCCTAAGTTAAGGGCAGAGTTCATGATTCAACAGTAAGAGACTGGCATCCAAAAATGGCATCCACGAGAGAGTTCAAAGGACAAAACCACTGCTGACAAAGAAACAACCAAAGGATCATCTCACATTTGCTTTGAGTCTCGTTATATCTGATGTAAAACTGACACAGTATTTCAGAACAGGAGCATCATACCAGCAGTCAAACGTGGTGGTGGTAGTGTGATGGCCTGGGCCTGCTTTGCTGCTTCAGGACCTGGATGACTTGCTGTAATTGGTGGAACCATGAGTTCTGATCTCTACGAGAAAATCCTGAAACACACTCAAACACACAGGTAATGCAACAGGACAATGATCCAAAACACACCAGAAAACCAATCTGTGTGTGTGAAAAGTGTGGCTGAAATAAAACAATTCTGAAGAGTGGGCCAAAAGTCCAAAAACAAAAATTCCTCTCCAGCAACTAAAAGACTCATTTCAGTTATCACAAGCAGCTGATTGCGGTTTTTGCTGCAAAGCTGTCGCAGCCAGTTATATTAGGTTTAGGGGGATATTATTTTTCAGACAGAGCCAAGTAAGTGTTTTTTTTCCTTAATAAATGAAATTTATCATTTAAAAACTGGTTGCCCTCGTCTAAGATTAAAATTTTCTTCTATGATCTGAAACATATGCAAAGAAAGAGAGAAAGTATTGTGCATAAGTACCATTGATATAGTTTTCTGTAGAAAACAAATTATCTGTTGTTTTGTATTTGTTTGTAGCCGTTAATAGCATAAAAAATGTTTGTACCATAAGTGAAAAAGTAGGAAAGTAACATCATGCATCTAGCATGTTCCTCATTTGGAGAACTCTGTTTGTAGCAAAGAATTTTGTTGTTAAATTAAAAAATGTGTTTTATTGCCTTTAATGTTTCTGCCCTTGCGTGCTCTTAAATGAAAAACAGTCAGTGAAATCAGGGTTTGTTGCCATGTTACTGTAGCAACAGGCGAAGCCAGAACTCCAATTTTGCTGACGCACTTCACACATATATGGTATGGACAAGATTTTTAATGTTCTGACCTGTTTGTTCTTTTGTTCTGTCACAAGAAACATCCTGTAATTACTGTATTTTTCTCTTATATGTCTCTGTGTAGGGGATTCTTTTTCCATTTTGTATGTCATGCAGGTAGAGAAAGCGATCTGCGTGGCTTATCTTAATAGTCGAATAAGCTGTTGTTGAAAGTAAGCAATAGGATTAGGTCTGTATAGATCTGTCGGGTCAATTAGCTCTATTAGCTCGCAGCATGGCACAAGAGGATTTTCCATGTCTTTGTGTTTGTCTCATCAAAACTGTACTGCCAGTTACCTTTGACAATTTACAATCATGAGTTATTATGAGTTGTTAAAGGTACAGATGTGTGATCTACAAGTTACCCACTTGAATTACAAACTTTCAGTAAAACCATTATAAATAATAATAGATAAATGAGTATTTTAAAGCTCATTTAAGTTTAAAGATGATGCTTAAACTTCATTTTACCAAGCAATAATCTCAAGGATATGTTCATTATAGGATTTCATAACAGGGCTCATTTAATCTGCTTTGTTCTTAAATTAAAACTCCACTGAGTTGAATGTTAAAGTTACTAGTCAGAAAAGAGTAGCCTATTCAGTTGTGTAAGGTCTTTGCTGACTTTGGAGGAGCTTTGTAAAGAAAGGAAGAAATAACCCAGTGGCAGAATCTGGGTTTGCACTAAGACACTTTGGTTAATTAATGGAAATCCTATGACTGGAGCTTAAAAATTCCATGTGCTAGTAGAAATAATCAAGTTGTGTCAAAAGAAACTGCAGGGTCCAGTGTTTTTTGAGGACTTTTGAGATAACTAATTAAGATGAAGGGAGATAGGAAATTAGATTAAAAGAGCCTTTGATGCATTAATTTAATTTTTTTGCTATAGTTCTATCTCAATCCCACAATTCTTCCAAATCATTGTCAGTTTTAACATGCTCTGCAAAGAATCACTTAAACGTAAATAATAAGGAAAAGGTCAAATGTATTTACACTTAATTTATATTTCTGCAGTGAATCTATGGAGCAACTATGACGTAGCCTACGTGAAGGGTTTGCTGTTATGACCTACCTGTGGCATAGATTTTGCATAGAAGTATAAATTCTTTGTTTACTGGGGAAAAGGGTCAAACTTTTATATTTAAACATCAAAAACATAACTAATAGATAATTTTCAATATGCCTAGGGGTTTGTTGTACTGATATTTACCAGATTTAGCATGCTAATCAGCTAGCATAGGTTCACATCATCTGGTAATATCACTTTGTCCCTCAAGGGCAATTCTGAATCACTGTTGTGTCCAATCGTTGTCTCCAACCAGGCCCGCAGCAGGGACAGGGGTAAAAGTAAAAGTAGTCCTAGTCTTTTTTTATGGTGTACAATTCTAACACTCTTGTCATCCAGGTTAGAGGATATCCCACAATGCTTACAGTTATAGTGGCTAGACAGAGTTGGGGAGAAACGTACCAGCGTTATGTATTACCACTTAAATGGGTGATAATTAGAATACAATTACTTTGTTGAAATAAGTGGATTACGCGGTGGTCTTTTGCTGTTTCATGTTAGGCTATCTCCTCTCTAATTTTAGTAATTCCACATATTGCTGGAAACCCAAACAAAACAAAACAAAAAGCAGTGGCTCTAATGTAAGCACCCTGTTAATGTTGGTGGCGTCAGTTACACAATGGACTCAAAGCCAGCACAACAGAGCCAGCAGTGCAATGCAGGAATGCATTTCTTACTTGGAAATTCCAACACTACTTCACATTTAAAGAAGAAAGGGATGGGCGAAATCTGATCTGATCGTCCAACGCACACTCTGTTTGCCAGCAACCAAGCTGCTCTCAGTGTCAAAAGACTGCAACATAAAGAAACATCTGTAAGTAACTTCTTTTTAAAAAACTAACATTAGCCTACTGCAACTACCTTGTTTTAGTGGTAGCTACCTGGGTTATGTGCCACTTCAGTATCTTCAATGTACTATTGCTGTGTTATTTATTACTATTACTGAAGGCTGCATTACAAGCTGCTAGCTACAAATAATCATGTGCAGTTCTGAAAGTAGACATAAAGAAAATATTACTGATACAGAAATAGTTTTCTATACGAGATCACTGCAACAAACTGTTACTCATTTTTATTAAGATTTTAAAATCTAGCTGGTATTGCTTTCAGAACTGCACATGATTATTTGCAGCTAGCAGATTGTTGATGCTATCCATCAAGTCTAAAAGTCTGCAGTCTATGTTACCTTCAGCTAACAATGTTAGCTCGGTGGTGAGTAACCTTCAGTAATAGTAATAAATCACACAGCAATAGTACATTGATGCAGTTGTAAAAAGCATGACAATATATCAAGTAATCCAAAGTATTCAGAATACATTACTCAACATTGAGTAACTTCATGGAATAAGTTACAAACTACATTTTGGGCCATGTATTCTGTAATCTGCAGTGAAATGCAATTTAAAAGTAATCTTCCCAACACTGTGGTTAGACTAGCATATGCCACTATGGAAGACTGGAAGCACTGGCGTAAGCTAAAAACAAAATGGCAGCTGTTCCATACTTTCTTCTATATTTAGTTCAGTACCCTTCTAGGCTATGTACACACAAACTGAAAAAGGGAAAAACAGTGTCATGTGCAATCCATAGCATGCCAAAGCAGCAGCTAGTAATACAACTCAAGCCTTAGAAAGGCAGGTCAGTTTGAAGCCTATTAGGGTTGCCAACTGTCCCGTTTTATACGGGACATCCTTAAATGTCCCGTATATTGACCATTACCTGCTCTTTTTGACGTTACGCTCACCAGATTTATTTATTTATTTGTTTATTTATATATAAAGAACCCCATTAGCTTCCACAATAGTCTTCCTGGGGCCCAAGCCATCAAGTATAATCTAATAACATATTACACAATAAAGTAGATGCAAAAGATGTTAGGAGCAATATGCGAGTCGTAAAAATAAGGGGCTGTTTGGTCTGTGTAGGTTAATAAACTGGGTAATTGAAGCCCATATTTACAGTATTTGCTTATTTTACAAAGGAAATGCCCATGTGATTTCAGTTATCATTTACTGTAGTTTTCTTTCTTTTAGATGAGGTATTGATTAAACTGAATCCCAACACATTGCTGCATTTTTATTATAAGAATATGAACATACAGTGCATATTTACACTATGCCCAGCTGGTTGTACACTGTGCCACTGGCACGCCAGAGTGTCCTGTATTTGATAGTTAAAAAGTTGGCAACCCTAAAGCCTATGAACAATAACACAGGACACCTCTGATGTTGCAAGGCAAAATATTTGTTTTCCGTATCCACACGTAAAAGCTTTCTACAAAAGCTCTAGTGCCTTTAGTGGCTTAAAACATATTAAACGTGTGGACAAAATGCCCAAAAAACAATGAAAAACACAGAAATACCAAATTATTAAGTCTTAGTGTCTGACTAAGGCCCTGGATTGACAGGTAGTGCATGTGGCATTTTGAAAGTGCTTTTAACTTGGGGACTTCTCCGGGTACTCCAGCTTCCTCCCACAGTCCAAAGACATCAATCTTTGGTTTACTAGTGATTATAAATTGGCCACAGGTATTAATGTGCGCGTGAAAGGTGTCTGTCTCTATGTGTTAGGCCTGTGGTAGACATGTTGCCTGCCCAAGGGTGTACCTGGCCTTGTACCCACATGGCAGCTGGGATGGGCACCAGGCCCCCTCCCCCTCATTGGTGAATTAGATCAGCAGACGAGGATGGATAGATAAAGGGATGGAATTAAATTGCATGTATTATTTATTATATATGTGTGTGTTTATTTTTATCACAGATTCTAATCACAGACTCTGATATCCAATATTTCCTGTGCCACATAGTCACCTTTGCATTATAGAAGAAAGCGAGAGCCTGCATGTACTGTAAGAGTGTATTTATGTGTCATGTGCATTTGCCCTTTGTCCTGGCTGCTATGTGTTCTGGTATGTAGCTAAAGGTCGGGGCCAGGCAGCAAGCAGGACAGCAGGGGCCCTCTCAGGGGGAGCTGAGGCTGGGAAGAGCTGCAGGGCCGAAGTCCAGCTGCACTGACGAGAGCAGAGATTAGGATGGAGCCGTGAATATCAGAGCAAAACAATACACATATTTATGTACAAAATATAGCTCGTGTGAGGAAATAATCAGTTAGTGAGCACTGTGTATTTAATTTCCTCCATGTAAACTGAGGTGTCATCAAAGTGCAGGTACTGATGTGTGCACCTCACGAATCTCAGCAAATGTGATATTCTATAAACTTCTCGCCTCTCGTTACCCGCTGCATGACTTCACAAGACTCCAGTGCAGGCTGTTCCTGAGAAATTTGCAAGTCAAGACAGCTACTGCACAAAATGTACACACATGCAAACACACACACAGCCAGCAACCTAGAAGTCCTCCTGTTGGTCGGAAAAGGTACTGCAGGGCCAAAAGTCCTCTGTCTCAGTGGTTTAGAAAGCAGTCACCTCTGATTTTGTCTTCTCTGCATGACAAGACGCCACAGTCACAAGAATCTTCTGCTCCATGAGTGGATTTAAACAAGAGACAAAAACGTATCTCTCATATAATTTCCTTATTCGTTAAATATAGAAAAACAAATATTACTTTTGGCTTTTGTTTTGTTTTTGTTTCCCCTTCTTATTGACTCAAAGCTACATTTTGTAAGGCTAGTTGGAAGTTACACAGTCTTTTTAGATTTGTGACAATCCTTTTAAAAAACTTTGAGTTTAGAAATATGTGGAAAAATATATGGAAGTAAGGACTGGAAGCAATTTATCCACAGCTTTAGTCCTGAACATGATTGCTTGAATTCCACAGTCATCTGTAATCTATGAATGTCATTTTTGTCCACAGCTTTCCTCCATTTAGTAAATATAGTGTACACGCAGTTTTAAAAACACATTCAATATGAGATCCAAATATGAAATCCCTTGTGGCTGAAGGATTTGACTGGCTTGGTTGAACTGCTGCCATCTTGCTTATCCTTTTGAAATCTTTAGAGGAAATATGAGCGATGCATTGGGAATCTTAACAGTTCTAATCTAAGGAAATATGCCATTATTTTTAACAGCAGTTTTGAATTCACACACAAGAAAGCCCGCACATTTATTCTGCTTAAGTAGCACTTGAGTGATTAGTAACCTTACACAGACTAAAATGTACCATTGTAGATTCACGTGCACCATCATCTGGTAGCACAAAGCAAAGGCACTAAAAAGGCTGCAAATGGTAGGAACCTAAAAGGGTATTAAAGCACATAATTGCCCCTATTTTTTTATGCTAACTTTTTGCACCACATATTTGGATGATCTAATGCAACATATGGGCGATTGTGGCTCAGGGGGTTGGGAATCGCATCTGTAACCGGAAGGTCGCCGGTTTGATCCCCGGGCTCTCTGTCCTGGTCGTTGTGTCCTTGGGCAAGACGCTTTACCCTACTTGCCTACTGGTGTTGGCCAGAGGGGCCGATGGCACGATATGGCAGCCTCGCTTCTGTCAGTCTGCCCCAGGGCAGCTGTGGCTACAACTGTAGCTTACCTCCACCAGTGTGTGAGAGTGAATGAATAGTGGCATTGTAAAGCGCTTTGGGTGCCTAGAAAAGCGCTATATAAATGCAATCCATTATTATTATGTGCTTTTGACCTAAGTTGTTATTGTGGATTGTGGTGCAAACACTATTATTCCATCAGTTATTCAGACATTTGCCTCTTTACCTGTTCAGGCAACACATTGACTTACACTGTATGGACAGATGTATTCTCCTCTCTCCTCCTCTTAATCATTGTTTTTGCTGGGGTTGGCCAATGCACTGGCCTGAACAAAGTCATTCTTTACATAAGTATTTGGCTGGTCTCAAATTATCATTAATCTAAACAAAAAGGTTGAGGTTCTCTAACCTATTCTAAATGTAAGACATCTCTTATGCAATTAGCTTTCCAAAAGAAAAAATGAAATAATAAAAAAACGTTCATCTATTCAACTAAGTAGGAAAAAGGGTAGGTTGAAAGTTTTCCTTTCAAAGTCAAAGCAGATCAAACCTCAAAACACTAGTGTGCATGAGCCTTCGCATTTGTGTATGATCAAGACTTCCAGTTGAGGTTACTGACTCTGGGCTGAACGGGACGCTTGCATGTGCTTTGCAGAGAGGTTTACACTCGATCAGTTTTTCTCTGGTGATTCGAGGAAGCATTTCTGTGGAAGTGACCAGGGAGGCTGTGATTCGCCACGTAACCATCGATTCTGTCACTTCTCCTAAACCTGAGAGATGTGCACATGCATAAACACAGAAGCGATAGACGGTCTGTGACGCAGTCCCATGAACCCGCTCTGTATTGTCAGCAGTGGGAGAACTATTTCGATCCTTCACCGAAAAGTACAAGTTTTGCATGCATACAGTGTATGGCTGCTTTTGCTGTATGTCGTTAAATCTTAAAGCATAGCAAAATATTTTTAAATATATTTTTTTCAAGAAGTCTCAGATATTTCCTTCAGATAACTCCTTCAGTAATATAATATAACAGAATTAAAATAACTGAATACTGAACTGTCTCCGAGGTGAAAATACACCTGACTAAATAACTTCTAATGCTTCATGTCTGCTGTGTCAAAGGCCAGCAGAGGCCATTCTACCTTCTCCCTGTGCGTTCTCCAGCTGTATTGACCATGGGTGTGAATGTGAGCCTCAGTGGTTGTCTGTGTCTCTGTGTTAGCCCTCCGACAGACTGACAACCTGTCTAGGCTGTGCCTCACCTCTCAACCCATGGCAGCTAGGATAGTCTCCAGCCCCCCCAAGACCACCATCCTGAATTGGGTAAGCAGGAGAAAATGGGAGGATGATAGGTTTCAGTAAAATGAG